TTTGAACTAGCTTACATTCCCACCAGCAGTGTAGGAGGGTTCCCCTTTCTCTGCATCCTCATCAGCATTTGTTGTTTTTAGTCTTTTTGATACTAGCCATCCTAACCAGTGTGAGGTGATATCTCATTGTGGTTTTTATTTGCATTTCCCTGATAATTAGTGATATGGAGCATCTTTTCATGTGCCTGTTGGCCATCTGAATTTCTTCTTTGGAGAAGTGTCTGTTCATATCCTCCACCCATTTTTTAATCAGGTTATTTTTTTTTTTTTGGGTGTTGAGGCGTGTGAGTTCTTTATATATTTTGGATGTTAACCCCTTGTCGGATATGTCATTTACAAATATATTCTCCTATACCGTAAGATGCCTTTTTGTTCTGCTGATGGTGTCCTTTGCTGTATAGAAGCTTTTTAGTTTTATGTAGGCCCCTGTGTTCATTTTTGCTTTTGTTTCCCTTGCTCAAGGAGATGCATTCGGACAAAAATTGCTCATGTTTATATTCAGGAGATGTTTGCCAATGTTGTCTTCTAAGAGTTTTATGGTTTCATGACTTACATTCAAGTCTTTGATCAATTTTGAGTTTACTTTTGTGTGTGGGGTTAGACAATAATCCAGTTTCATTCTCTTGCATGTAGCTGTCCAGTTTTGCCAACACCAGCTGTTGAAGAGGCTGTCATTTCCCCATTGTATGTCCATGGCTCCTTTATCATTTATTAATTGACCATATATGCTTGGGTTTCTATCTGGGCTCTCTAGTCTGTCCCATTGGTCTATGGGTCTGTTCTTGTGCCAGTACCAAATTGTCTTGATTACTGTGGCTTTGTAGTAGAGCTTGAAGTCAGGGAGCGTAATCCTCTGTCTCAATTTCTTTAATGCAACAGGAACGAGAAAGCAAACAGGCCAGTTTTGAGATCTGCTTCTCTTCGTGTGCCTGTCCCACAGTTAAGGCTTCTGCATTTTATATTCCTGGAAGTCTGGATGTACCTTTTACTGTTTAGTATTTTTTCCCTTGAGGTTAGTTCAGCATAACTGTTTTACAGTTAACTTAATACAACTGCATTCCAAAGTAACTGAACATATAGTACTGCCATCTGAAAGCCAGCCTTAAGCATTTAGACATCTGCAGATCATCTGCCTCCAAAGCCATAATTGTGGAAATCTGTGTTTCGCTTTCCACCTTCTAATCAAGCAAAGGCATCAAAGTGACATCACAGATAACCCACACATTTATTCTCCTCTAGCCACAGATTATCTTAAAGCACTTAATGTTTTACAAGCCTCCCCCATCCCTCCCCACCCTGACTACAGACAGGAATAAAATATCTTTGCTACAGTTTTCCCTAAAATTATGGATGCTCTGATAATCTAAACAACTCCTTCTAACCTTAAAAACTTAGCATCCTAGAGGCCAAAGGGCCCCCGTGGGACTCCTCCACCTGCACTTCAACAGCATCCAGGAGGAGGGGCTGTTTTGCTCTCTGGAACATTCTCAGAGACTGGAAGCCGGCTTCCTTTCTCACAAGAGGGCCTGGTCCATTCAAGCCCTGTGCTCGTTATCATTAGAAAGCGCTTCCTCACATTATTGCATCATGCTTCTCTGTGACTCCCTGTTGGCGATAAGCTCTCTGCAGAGCTAAGATTGCATCTCTATGGTCAGACATAAGGGAATGCTTTGGGCCTCATAAGCACAGAGGTTTGAATACTGGCTTTGCATTGTGTTTGGAGGAATTTTCTTAGCTTCTGTAAGCTTCTGTTTCTTTGGGTACAAAATGGAGATAATAGTATATTACATTGAGTTTGGGTACTACATGGCAGAATGCCTAATGCATGAAAATGCATTTAAATGGGGGGCATTATTATTTTTATTCTCAAGTCATACATTTCAGCAATTTCAGAGTATGTTTGCTCACTTGTTTCCTCTAATTCTTACACATTCTTCTAGCCCCGCACCCCCAAAGAGCCAACAGGCTGCCCTATGTGTCTATACAGTCTCTTCCCAGAGTCTTAAATGCAGTGTTAGTTTTTCCAGAAGTTAAATCACAGTCCTATTAACAGTATGCGCATGATGTTTTCAAAGACTATATCCGCAAGCCTCAGACGTTTGTTATAATCTGATATAATGAAAGGCGATCAGTATATCCCTGAACAGTCCATTTGGAGGCACAGCCCAGAAATCTCTGGGGTTTGGGCTTTGCTCTTTTCTAGCAATCTCAGTCCAGTCCATCAATATCCAGCCTGTGCTGCCAAAAGAAATGTGGAAACGTTACTATAAATAGTACCCATGTGACCCCATTCAGGTTAGGATTTTTGCCTTCTGTGTTACCATTCCAGAATTTAGATATCCTTTTTAATAGGGAAGTAGAGTGTTTTAGTAAGCTCTCCTTCTGGGTTCAGTTGTCATGTGACTTGTGTTTGTGGGCCTCTGTGTTTTCACTTGGCTGCTTGCGCCTCCTCATGACTGTGTTCTTCCACGGAAGTTATCAGAGGGTTTCTAGCACGCCAGCACCTGCTTCAGAAAAGAGACATCAGACAGCAAGAGGCCACCTCCGCCAGCAGCTTTCTGCAGATGACAGAGGACATGGGGCTGAGGACCTACGACGCGCTGGTCGTCCAGAACGCTTTGGACATTGCCCGTGAAAACAACTGGCCCCGGAGCAAAGTGGACACGACTTCCCATAAAGAGAAGCTGGAGGCCAGAGACAAGCCAGAGGAGGGGACCAGGAGGTAAAGGCAGGTCGCATGCAGCATTAGTTACCTTCCTAAGTGACCCTGTGGAGTCAGGAACCATCTACCAGCCCTTATGGTGAAGTTCAAATGTGACAGCGGTTCTGGGAACAGGCATGCATGCAAAAGGTGCTTTCTTTTCATGAAATAGATGCTGTATGCATGAGTTTAGTCATATGAAACAATTATTGTCTTGCCTCTAATGCTTGCATCATTTACCATCTCAAGGACAAAGTTTTAAGGCATCTAATGTTTCTGTCTTAGCCAAAATATATAGCTGGATTTTGACATCTTTATTCAGGTATCATGTATAGAACGCTGACTCATAGAAACTTCTGGAAATCTGATCAGAAAAAAATGAGAAGTCACTCTGACAACATAAAAGTAGTGCGATCAATAAATGGTTGTATGTATTATATTTCCCTTAGTAAACTGTCCGAGTTTCTTTGGCAATAAGGAAACTCTGGGAAAAGTTTTTTATTTTAAGTTCACTTTGGATGCTGACCTTGACATAGAAATGTGGAGACAACCCAATCCTTCTCCATTTTATCACTTGGGCATCTCTCTGAAGGGTGAGGACACCCATGACTCACAGTGCCTCTCCCTGGGAGGGCAGGGACCCTGGTCCTTCAAATCCTCATTCTCTGTCAGGGAGATGCCTGTTTTTCCTTAAGACACTAGTAATATTTAGTTGTTTCTCACTGAAAATGACTCCCCCTTTGCCTTGTCTGCCTATGTCAAATGATTTTTTATTAAAGTGGAAATGGCAATGTGCATCTCGCTAATTAGCTTCAAATATCTCAGTGATTAAATCCTGAAAAAAATTCCCTTTGTACGGAAACTGTAATTAAACATTACAGGGAAAACAAATTATCCACTGAGTGCCATGCTTTCATCTTCAACTAGTTCATTTTCTACATGGGTGTCTGGCTCTGGCTCGTGGTAGACCCCAGCCCTGCGGCGCTCTGCCACGCAAAGATATAATTACAAAAACTAATGCTCAGAGACTCCTGGTAAGATGAATGCATTGGCATCTCACTGCTACATGATTACATTGATATGTGAAGCCAGAAGGAACTTTTTTAAACCAGATAACTATTAATTTTATATGACTTCCAGAATAATATTTATCATTTTCTCTGCTGGAACTAAACAGCCACCCCAATTTCTCAATTTGATTATGTATTTCACTTGCCTGATTTAAAATTAAGTGAAGACGTGTTTGTCTGTTTACTTATTGAACACCAGCAGTTCACTTGGCATTGAGCAACCAGATGGAATAGCAGAAGAAAAATAATAATCCTGCACAGAATTAAATAATCACTCATGGAATTTAAATGGCAAGGGCGGGAGTGGGGGAAGGGAAAAGGAGGGGGAGAGAGGGTACATCTGTGCGTTTTGAGTACACATATGAGAGTATATTCTCTTGCAAGGGGAGATGGTGATGAACTTGCAGCCTTTGATGCACCAGTAACTGCCTATTAAGATGGATTTCCCAGAAATTATCATTCAGATTGAAATTCTGGTTTTTTCATTTGCTTAATAATCAGAGTGTGAAAAATTCATTCAGTGCAAGTCTGATTCAAAATGCGGCACTCCCAAAGCAGCCTGGTGTTTGGGACTTTTAGCAAGGCCTGGTGATGACGGCGCAGCGTGCTGGTGCATCCTAAGGCAGGGAGTGAAGGATGGACAGGCGGCTCTGCGTGCTGCCCAGCGTCCTGCAGTCGGATGGGGAAGGCTGTCCTCCACAAGCTGGCGCCGTGCTGCAGGCGCACTGTTACCATCTGAATAATGCACCGGGGCCTCTCTCGGGGGTGCTGTTTGTGTTTTGTTTCTCCCAAGAGCTGAAGACCAGGGTGGACCCAGGCATTTCCACGGCAGCTCGGTCCCTGTCCCTATGGCGGTGGATGGCCTGGTCCAGGCCTTGGCTGGCCCATCCACCCGGTCTCCTCTGCACTCTGTGTTCAGCCTGGACCACAGCAGCGGCCTCCCGTCACCACGGAAACAGCCTCCGCCCAAGCCAAAGAGGGACCCCACCACGCGGCTGAGCGCCTCCTATGAGGCCGTGAGCGCCTGCCTGTGGGCCGCAGCCAGGGAGTCAGCGAATGAAGGTCAGCGCAGAGGAGGACAGGCCCGAGGCCCTGACTTCCGGTCTTTGGGTGTCTGATGTATTTTTAATAGACATAAATCCAATTGTTGGCTTGCCAGCAGCTCTTTAATCATTAAATATGAATAATATTTATTCAAATCTTTAAGCCTCTTAGACAAAAAGCTACTTACCTACCATCTTTTTAACCCCCCATCCCACTTCAAGGTTCATGAGGGGCCTTGGACCACAGCAATTCAGAAAGCTGGTCACCGGTCCATGTAAATTGTCACTAATTAAAAGGCTAAGAAGATTCATCAGGCTTCCCTGTTATCACAATCTAATTAAAAATTAAGCCTGCTTTATCATGCAGTCAGTGAAAGGTTCCAACAGAGGAGACCATGACATGGCAAAATTCAGTCCGTGAATCTTCCGGAAAGTGCTAACAAACAATTTTGCCCTGGTGACCAAGAAATACTGAGACACAAACGGGAAAACTGCAGTTTATTCTCCATCAAACTTCTTAGATGAGTCCAGGTAACTAGTGTTGCTTGGTTCTTGTTTTTTTTTAGAATTGTGAGCAACAGGGGAAGTACTTTGCAGAACATTTACTGATTTCACAGATTTTATTTATTCACCTGCTGAAAGTGAGGCCCTCTTCTTGGCCCAGAGGGATACCCAATAAATAAAACAAACAAAATTATCTTCCCTCATGGGGTTGACATTCCAGCATGAGAAGACAGATGGTAAATACATACACAAGAAAAGACATAAAACATTATAGAAGATTGTTGCTGCAAAGAGAAATAAATTGTGGTGCAGCGTGGGGGGTTGGAATTCTTCCTGTTCCAATACGCCAAAAAATCTTCCTTCTCATTTCCACACACCCTTTTGAGATCTGTGCCAGGAATCCTATACAGAGGTCCAAAAGTAACAATTGTGGGAATGGTGTTTGCTCTCCTTTTGTGGGTAGTGTATTTATGATCTGTTTGGACCATCGGCCTTTTCTGGTTGGTGGAGAGGAGCTGTTTCCACTGGACATCCTTCTCCGACTTCCCGTCTCTGTGCACATTTCTCACCTGAAGACACCCCTCCTCCCCCAGATGATTTCTCTGATGTCATCTTCCCCTTTTGCTGTTTTCTTTCTTCTGTGATGCCAAGACACACACTTGCACACACTTGGACTCCTTTTTTTTTTTTTTGGTCAGTTAAAATTCTCTTAAAGATCTATTCTTTCCTAAAGTGATGGATAAAAAGCCTTTTTGAGGATAGAGAGAGTCGGCTCCTGGCTCAAGCCTTCCGGCCTGTGCTCCTTCCTCTGTCTCCATGGTGTCAATAGTCTTTTGGCTTTGCTGTGCTCTTGTATTTTGGCTCATTTATTTACCTAAGGAACTGTGATTCATCCTGTGTGCAAGTAGCATTTTCTAGTGAAACCTGGCTACAGTGAGACATGACAATGCCGTTAATGTGCGCTGTTTAAAATACATGGGTACCTTCATTAGGTGTGCAAGACTTGGTCGGTAGGATTGAAGTTCTTGAAACTAAGTTCAGCTCACACGTGCCGACGTGCTTGCAGGCATCCCCCTCACTGATCACACCCCGGGGCACTCACAGCTGGGAGGCTTGGAAAAGGGCCAGTCCATAATAGTGTTCCTTTTGTACCATCTGCAGTTTTTATTCTTTCTTAGAAGATTCCTAATCTGATGACTTTGTAATATGATGACCATACCTCCTACAGCTGGAGATGAATCCCTGCATTCTGGAATGTGCTCTGCCTGCATCTGTAAGAATACGCATGGTAACCTGCCTGATCCGGGGGAGCAGGGGTGCTCTTCCGTTTTGCAGCATTAGGAGTCAGGGGCCAGGGGAGGGGCTCTGTCACTTAGCCAGTGGTGTCTTGGGTTCCTAAGGCATAATCACACTGGTGGCTACAGCCTCAGATGATAAGCCAGCTGTCGGCAGCAGTCCTGGGCCTGTTTATGCCACCGTGACAGTGGCTGAAGGTGTCCAAAGCAGGAGCCACTAGCCTCCTGTGGCTATTTCAATTTGAGGTAATTAAAATTAAATGACATTTAAAATGCAGCTCCCTGGTCATTAGTCACATTCCAATTACTCAGCAGCAGCATGAGTGGAATTTCCCAACATCACAGAAAGTTCTGTCAGACGGCACTGCCTCTGAATCGCTTCATGTGTTCACCACAGGGGCAATGTTGAGCTTTTTGCACCTGATAATATGTCACAACGTTATCCTTCTTCTGCAAAACAAAGGAAGAAAATCAGGTCACTATTTAAAATGCTCTATGAACCTTAGTTTCCTAAGAACAATTGAGGTCCGTTTATTATCTGAGCCATTCCTCTTGGCCTATGAAAAAATTGAGTTCAAGTTCCTTCTTTCACCCATAAGGCTGCTAACCTATCCAGAAGGCTACAGAGTGACAGGAGACCTGCTTGGAGAGGGAGGGTCAGGGGTCTTGGAGAAAGCAGAGTTAGGTCCCTGGCAGTTGGTGTTCTCGCGCCCAGTCCTGTCCTTACAAACACATGCCTTTTCCTGTCAATTTTCATCCAATAAACTCAGTTGTAGGGAAGAGAGGCACGTGGAGAATTCATTTTTTTTTTCACTATCCTTGTGTCTGAAAAGCATGAAACGATTTTATGAGTCAGTAAATTTTAACACTTGTTTGCAAACTATTACCAAGTTAGAGCCAACTTTTCAAAAATACCATTTTTTGTTTTAAAATTTGGGGTTGCTCTTTGCAAACAGTGACCAGAAAAAGAACGGGGCTCAGATTCCCTTTCTCTCTGCTAGGGAGCCCCTCACTCAGGAGCCCTCTGGAGGCTGGTTCTCCAAACCACGTGTGCCTGTTCCCTCCAAACACGTTTGGCAAGGACACGTTTCCTTGTGAAGGGTCAGCCTCTGTCATAAAGTGACATGACTTCTGCCCTCTCCCTCCCTTGAGGCTGCAGCAGCCCATTCCTTAGAAACAACATCATGAGGGACTTACAGTCTTTTTAAATTGCTGTACAACTGTATTCTCAGCAAAACAGCTTATATGTATAGATGCCAGGATGGTTCAGACCTTTGGTTTATTTTAGAAATAACATTGCACTTCTTTCTGTACTGTCTTGTTTATGTCTTTATTCTAAAGCAGCCCTTGGCACATAGTAGGCACTCTACAGCTACTAAACAAATAAGTACATGTTACAGAAGCATATTTCTTTGTGCTGCTTTCATGAAAGCAGATTTAGATTCCTATCAATAAGTCAAAACAAGTAGTTTGGCCAGACTTAACATGTACTCTTGAGATTTGTGAGACTTGGTTTGTTAGCGTGTTTTATAGCCCCTCTATGATTGTTTGTTTCTTTTACCTGAAATTCCTTCCACGAACGCCATCCTGAGAACACAAGACTGGATACAGTAGGAGAATATGATTGTGTGTCTCACAATTCCAGGACATTCGACAATTTCAGGACATTTGTCCATTCAACACATATAACTGTGTCCCATGAGCCCCAAGGGTCACAAAGACCAGCGGGGGAGATAAAGGGGCAAACAAATTAGAAGTAAGCCGAGTAATAGCAAAGAGAGCAGACGATGTGGAAACCAGAGAGGGGTCAGGAAGGACCTTTAAGTGACATTATTGGGGTGCAGTCCAGTGGGTAAAGATGGGGTGAGAGCAGAGGTAATAGGCCCCTCCCACTAAAACAAACAACCGATGGTCTTCTTGGTCTACAACAGCACCGTTCAGTAGAAGCCTTTTTATCCCTATTTGCAGCGGGCTGTAAATCGATGCCACGTTCACTCATGTATATGGTCTGCCAGCCAGCTCACCGGCACGTATTTAGCACCCCTTTTCTGTCCTAGGTCCTGTGCTAGGCGAAAGTGTGCTCTGAATCTAGGCAACATCACCCGGGTAGAACGAGCGTACCTGCGTGCGCACATGCACAGACACAAATACTTTCTTGATGAACGAGCTTCTGGGTTCTTTTTTTCCCATGAATATATAGGGAACTTGGTCTCAGTGAGAATGTGGCCAAATAACTTGGGTCCCGGTGAAAATGGTGACTTAAAAGTCATCTGACTAGCTGACTAGCTTTAGAAAAAAATTCAAAGAGAAGGTATCATTACAAGAAGAGTTTTCTCTCCTAACAGAGCCTGCACATGACACAAGTCCCTCCGTGCTGCCTTGTGGTTTGAATGTGGGGGACAACACAGGACTCAGCCTCAAGGTGTCCCCTGGCCATGAGGTGCTCTCAGGACCCCGTCTCACTGACATTTTCAAATAGTTGCAAGTATTTTCCCCATAAATCATGGGACTAAAATAAAATTAAGAAAATTCCTAATGTATGTTCATTTTTAATAGGCTTTAAATCCATATTTGCAGATGAACTATTAGCAAGTGCTTGTGTGGGCACGCACACACACACACACACACACACGCACGCACGCACGCACCACACCACGGCTTTCTAATTTTAGTGTACGAGGAATAAAGTTTTCAGTCCCCGTTCCCCCGCCACGGTCTCTACTGAGTAGCTGAGGGCGATGACAGAATGGCACTACCTACGTTCTCCACAAACACCCCAGGCGATCGGACGCTGCGGCACCCCAGGCTGCACACCTAGGAGCCCTGTGCCGTCACTCACGGTCGAGCTCCAGCCGTGTGGGCATCAGCCGGTGACGCTGAGAGCTGGCACTGAGTGGGCGCTGTGATGCGCCAGGCTCCCATCTGTAGAGCTGCCCCAAGGAGCAGGGCCATCATCATGGCGCTACAGATGAGGACACTGAGCAGAAGTGTGGCCCGTCCCCTTCAAACGGCCAAGCTTGGGACCCAGACTCCAGAGGCCAGGCTCTTGACTGCCTCCTGATAAGCTGAGCTGCTTTCACTTATAATACTTTAATATAAAACCTTTTCTCTGTGTCTGAAGCACATCTGGAGAGAACATCATTTCAGTGGTCTACTGTTGCTTAACAACTCATCCAAAACTTAATGATTTAAATAAAATGTGATTGTTTTATGATTATCTCTCAGATTCTGGGTGTCAACTGGCTGCTCAGGCTGGTTCTCACTCGGGGTCCTTCATGAAGCCGCAGGTGGTGGCTGGAATCATTGAAAGCTGGTCACTCACAGGTCTGGAGCCTCAGATGTCCGAAGATTGGGGCTGCTTGGGCATCTGGGTCTTGTGGCTGTCCAGCCACATGGTGTGCACAGTATGGCAGCTTCAGGGCGGCTGGGCTTTTGTATGGAGAGCTGACGCATCAGAGGCACATGTTCCAGGAAGGACAGTCCTGGGTAGACACGTGCCAGCCCTGAAGTCACGCACTATCGCTTCTACCACATCCCATCCAGCAGGCAGTCCCAAGAGCGCATCCAGGTTTAGGAAGGAGAAAGAGTTCCCATGTCATGACAGAGCTGGAAACACTGCCGTGGCCAACTTTTGCAAACTACCATCTAAGTCCACCCTCCAGACAAAACAATTCACCTCCCTCCCACATACAAGCTAAGTCCCCTCCTCCCGCAAACTGCCCAAGCCCCCTATCACACTGAGGGGCCAGCTCCAGTTCTCATTGGCTCAGTCGGTCCAGGTGAACCTCCTTAGCTAGCCAGCTCCCTCAGGATTCTCCTTTCTATCTGAGACAAGTTATATATTCACACACCCGACACACCCTGTGGGGACAGGCACAGAACACCCCCATTTGCAAAGGCGGAGGTCATTGGCGGAGCAGTTCTGGCATATGTTGCTGGTGTCTTAATTAGGGTGTAGTCCTGGTGCCTGGAAATGGCTTTCTATGGCTCTGAGGACCACACCTGGAATCTTGGCTCAGCTTTGAATTGCGATTCCTAATCCTCACCAAAGCTCTTCATTCTGTACTGGCCCTTGCAGTGCAAGCTGATACAATTCCTTTAAAAGCTTTGTGAGTTTCTTGTGAGTCAATTATAATACCCTCCAGTGTTCAAAATGGTGCCACATTCACATAACCCTTAGAGGCCACCCTTCTCTGATCTGAGCTCGCTGCAGGACTTCTGTGTAGCGGTCCTCCTGGTGTTCTTAGAAATCCTGAGGTTTTGTTTCTTTGAAAGGGTTCTGGAAGTACTAACTTCAAATCTCTATGAGGTCTTAATAAAAGGGTTCAAAGTCATGATCTTAGCTTTAGATTATGTATGTTTTCCTGGAAAGGCCCTAGATTTCATCTCTGGCTGGAAGTCATTTCTTAACTTCAGAATTTTTTGCCATCTGTACATCCTGGTAATAAGAAATTCAGTAAGTTATTTTCAAGCCCAGGAAGTCCTGGCTTCTTTATATGTAATAGTTGTTTCTTGAGCTCATCTCTTTACTCTTGTGTGTTACTATAAGCAATGGAAGAATCTAGGAGGAAGCTTTTACACTCTGCCTAGAAATCTCTTTAGCTGGGAGATATGGTTTCTTATGTGTATTTTCCATTTTCAATGTTACACAGGTGACAGTGTTGAAAGGGCCACATTTCCTGCAGCTTCTAACGTGTTCATCACTTAACTGGAGGCTCACCAAGAGCTTTCTTGAAGATCGCTATGCTTCTGCTAACAGTCTCTTCAAGAGGCTCCTGTGTCCTGAAGACACTCCCACTTGTAAAGTTCCTTACAGTGGCACCCCACAAGTACCGGTATCTGTGTTAGCCACTTATTTCTATGAAACAAACTTCTCCAAAATTTAGTGGCTTAAAATAGCAATGATGATTTTATCATGATCTCCGTCATAATTTTAGTGGTTGGCAGGACTCAGCTAAGCCATTGCCCCGAGGGCTCTCCCACCGCGCCAGTCGGACAGCAGCTGGGGCTGGAATCACCTGAAGGCTCCGTTCACTGCACTATCAGTGTCTGGGCTGGGGAAACCCAGGTGCTTGAAGGCTGGGGCAGATGGGCACCTCTCACCTCCTGTGGCCTTGCCACACGTCCTCACGGCATGGCTGCTTCAGGGAAAACAGGCTTCTCACCCAGGGATCAGGGTCCCCAAGTTGTGTCCCAAGAGGGCAGGAACCAGGCAGAAGTTGCACTGTGCACGATCGGGGGCACTTACAGGGGCCCCCTCAGTTTCAAGGTTCTGGAAGAGCACGTGCGACTGGAAATATTGTTGAAACCAGTTTTGGAAAATACGATCTGCTGCAAATCCTTTAAATTATTCAAATCTTCAGAACTATTCTGTAATACTAATGTTAAAAACTTGTTTAGTTCATTAACTTTCTCGGAGAAGCTCATGGGCTGCTGTGTTTTAGCACATTAAAAGCCTTTGGAATAATGCTTGTTAATTATAGAAGTGTGCACTTTGGGTATTTTCTGCTCATAGAAGTTGGCTGGTTTGGGGAACCCTGTATCAGCGTACAGTGTCCAGTTTGTAACCCTGTAATGACTTACAAAGATGTCCATTGAGTTAGAAAATTAACTTTGTTCTTTTCCATTCTCATTTAGATGTCTCCCATTTGTTTCATGTTTATAATGTGCCAGAATCTGAGCTAAGTACTTTACATACAATATCTATTTTATTCCTGAGATAATTACTAATATCATCTTTGGATGCATGACTGCACTGAAGCCTAGAGAGATCTGCCCATGACCACTGCTTTTCAATTTCAGTTGGTACCAGTGTGCCCCCCAATCATCACACAATTCTGTGACCCCTAACTGTGACCTCGTTTCTCCTCCGTGGCATACATGGTGTCCTAACGTGCTATAGAATTTACTCACTTGTTTTACTTACCTTTTTTTTTTAATTGTCTGACACCTCCCACTAGGGCAGAGGAAGTTAGGGACCATTTTCTCTATACTCACTAATGTGTCTCCATAAATATTGGTTGGATACAGTACTAAATGAATGAGTGCACAAAGAAGTGATCCTGCTGGAATTTGAACCCAGGTCCATCTGACACCAGAGTCTTTAATTTTAACATTATACTTCACTGTCTCCCCAAAACTGGGGACAGAGACAGCTGTCATACATGCAGTCATAATAAGAGAAAACCTGGCTGCCTTAAACAATGCAGAAACTCAACAATTAGAAATGCTTATATCAATAATTGCTACAGATCACTAAAATAGCACATGAATAAAGTGGTTTAACATTTTTGAGAAGTTTTGTTATTTCAGTGAAACTTGATGCATTTTTTTCTAAAATGAACATCTCAATTTCCATTTCCAGAAAAATTATGTTTAATAAGAACATAATGACAATTTATAATAAAAATATATTAGCAAAAGAATTTTTTTTGGAATTTTATTCTTTAATGGAACATTTTATAAATGTTTTTGAGTCATATTTAGGTAGTTTTTCTCTCTCTTTCAAAATTCACTCTTACTAATATTACACTTGCTTTTCTATGAATTTCTCCTTTTGTGAACTGGAGAAGTTTCTGCTTTTCAAGTTCTTAGCAAAGTGTTCCTCTTGATTTCCCTGTTAAATGTCTTTCTGTTAAGGATTCAGATATATCGATTCATTAGAAACCCACCCTTGGCATCAGTTAAAGTGCCTCTGAGAACAAGCCCTCTGCGCACCTAGGTGTTTTTTCACTGGTGTCCATTCTGTTCATCGTATACCATCTAATGGAACCCGTGCCTTTCCTCCCAGGAGCATTATGACCCTCACTGGCCCCCCACTCCTGTTCTCTCATCCTAGTCAGGGGCAGGTCAGCTAATACTCACACTTCACACGGGTGTCAGGCCCTCGGGTACAACTGTAGGTAGGTTCTGGCCGCTGACTTGGCATGAGGTCCCCAGGGCACCGCAGGGCCTGTAGTCCTTGCAGGGTGGCCACCAGCCCAGGACCACCTTCCTGGCACCTGACTCTGTCTGGGTCTGAGCAGAGGGGCAGGCCAGGATGCTGGGGGTGGCCGGTCGCAATGCTGGGGATGGCGGGCCAGGATGCTGGGGGTGGCGGGTCACTAACTCTGCTCTGCTCCTCTGCCCCCCAGCTCTGGCGCGGCCCCGGCCGCACAGCGACGACTACAGCACCATGAAGAAGATCCCGCCCCGCAAGCCCAAGCGCAGCCCACACACCAGGCTCAGCGGCTCCTCCGAGGAGATCGCGGGCGCGCGCTGCAAGGGCGGCCCGGGGGGCGCGGGGGTCCCGGGGGTCCCAGCGGCTCCCGCCCCCGAGCCCGAGCCCGTGTACATCGAGATGGTGGGCCGCGCCGGCAGCCCCGAGCAGGCTGAGGCCGTGTACGAGGAGATGAAGTACCTCGTGCCCCCCGAGGCGCGCGCCTCACCCCCGCCGCGCAGGGACCCCGGGCCCCCCGACGACCACGCCACTGCCAGCGGCCAGGCGCCCGGGCCCCGCCAGGACGCGTGTGACATCCCGGCGCCCTTCCCCAACCTGCTGCCCCACCGGCCCCCGCTGCTCGTATTCCCGCCCGCCCCCGCCACCTGCTCCCCGGCCTCCGACGAGTCACCCTTGACGCCCCTGGAGGTGAAAAAGCTGCCAGTCCTGGAGACCAACCTCAAGTACCCCGTGCAGGCCGACGGCTCGAGCCCCCTGTCGCCCCAGTACTGCCGGAGCCCGCGAGCGGACGGGGACAGGCCTGCGTCCCCCGGCCCGCACCCCTTGAGCGGGCCGCCCCAGGGCTCCCCGCCGCCCGCGGCCCCCGCGCACTTCGCCTTCCCTCCCGAGCCCGCCGTCACCGAGCCGCCCCGGGCGCCGCCTGCGCCCAGCTGCGCCCCCGCGCGCACCCTGAGCCCCCGCGGCCCCGGGAGGGCGGCCCGCGCCGACCCCCGGAGGCCCCCCGCCAGCGCCTGCGGCCCCGCGCCCTACAGCCCGCCGGGCAGCAGGCCCCTGGGCAGCCCCCTGGACGAGCTCGCCAGCCTCTTCAGCTCGGGCAGGAGCGTGCTGCGCAGGTCCGCGGCCGGGAGGAGGATCCGGGAGCCCGAAGGTGAGCAGACACGCGGCCCCTCGTGCTCGTGGGCGCGGGGTCCGGCTCGGGGGCCGCGTGTGCACTGCACTCACGCGCAAACTAACGATGCTCAGGGGGCCTGTGGCGGCCGTGCAGAGCAGAGACCAACTTACAAACACCTATGCGGCCAGGGTGGCCCAGCAGGTAGGAATTAATATTTCCGTTATGCAGATAAAGGCTCATGTTATAAAAGTATATAGCACGAAAACTGGATTTAGTAAGTTCGTAGGACGTAAGGATTAGAAAGAGCAATTAATTTGAGCTACGGCTTTCTTTTTCCTAATAAGACTTCCTTATAGCATGGAATGGTATTTTTGTGATATTACATTGCCCATGGCCCTTCGATTTACTGCTGGCCATTTACTCAAGTGTCCTTCTGTCTAATCTATCTTACTTCCTCTCCTGGGATGATTACCTGTTACTGCCTCACACTTACTACTGCTCACCTTCACACTGTTTTGAATGAAGGAGTTTTCAATGTTCATATTCCACCCAAGGAAAGTGCTTACCCAGTTCCACTGTATCTGCGTCTCAGCCTACATCACAGGTTGCGGGCGGCAGTCCACTCAGGTGAGCTCAGGGCCGCGCTGTTCCAGCCAGTAGCCGTTGTCTGTGTAAAGAAGTATTTATTCAGCATCCCAATAAAAGCAGAAGCAGCTAGCAAAAAAGTCCTGGGTAAGAATCTTGCCACTCTCTTGAAGTAGCTGACCACACACGAGCCCACTTAGATGAGGTTGCCTTTATTCCAAAGGTGTCGTTTTGGCATCAACCCTCTTATCGCAAAGAATATAGTCATCATCCAAAAAAGTATTTTAAGACTTTTGTACAAAACCAAAATATTTCCCATTGTTCTGCATTTGAGGGAAGAATACCATTAATATAAAGTACCTTCTCTTTAAGGAAATTGTAGCAGGTCCCTTTCGTCATGATGCCATGAGCCCCCCACCCCAGCCCCCCAAACCCCACCGCAACCATCAACATCCTCACTTTACAGGCAGAGACGGGAAAGTTCAAGGTGAGGAGTCACCGTGGTCCCAGTGGTGGGGTCGAAAATACAATGTTTGCTTGTGATGTAACATTTTGTGTACATGTTGACCTGCTCTTTCTCCAAAAGAAAATATATGAACACGTTAGCTTTCATCATTTGTTTAGGCAAATTACATTAGGTACAAAAAGTTAGAAAATCTAGAAAGCAATCTTTATAGTGAAAAGTAGGTCAAGGCCAAGAACACTTAGCGAATGAATGAAGAACCTGTTCAGTGTTCTTCAGACAAATAAGCTGATTGTTTAGCTAACAAATTCTTTATTATAAGCCATTAATAAATGAAATTGTCCTTATAAGTAGAAAAATGCTTGATTTTTACAAGTCATATGTTTCATTCCAGGAACAAAATGGAATCTAAGAGAAAAGCATCAAATGAATAAATTAATATTTGCTTTTAGAACTAAAAGTTTATTAAACTTTCATAAACCTCATTTTACTATAGATGGGAATTAGGTGAATTTTTCTTGGCTATTTTCAAGTAGGTGAAGTTAATGAACCTCATCGCCCGGAATCCTTCAGTCTGGGTCTCAGTGAGAATCACAGTGAGCCTCCAGGCACGGTGCACAAATTTGCATATTATCTTTTCCTATGGTGGCCTTCACCGGTATTTGAGAACACATGTCAAACCCTCAAGTACAACATTTTTAGCTCAACTCTGAAATCATAAAACATCTATTTTTCTACTGTGGGCTTTTACAAAACACTTTTTAATTTGAAAAGATTGGTTTGAGCCACTTATGACTTACTTATAAAAACGTGAATTGGCAGCTTCCACCGCAGTACGGTAGCTTCAGGAAAGACTGCTAACATATGTGAGGGCATGTCATCCCCTCACCCTGGATTACAGGAGTTCCAGCTGTGCATCTGAGCACGTGTCACTTGAAGGCCCATGATGTGGGAAGTGAGTTGACAAGCTTGCGCGACAGGGTCTTGTGGACTTTTACAGGTCACACGTAGAATGTGAAAGGAGCTAAAGATGAGATGTGGAAGAAAAAAGTCTTCATGCTGAAGCTAATCACTGAAGCTGCTTATGTGATTATTCAGGTTTACACAGTTTGATCCCGAAGTCAGTAATCCATTTTCTTCTGAATGAATTGCATGGCTGCTATTAATGGTTTGCTGTAGTCTTGGGACTTCTTCCCTTTAAGGTTTTTAAGTCTTCTACTTTACCCTCTTGTACGTACAAATATTCTTATTTTCACCTGAAATAATTTTCTTGCCAAATAATCCAGTGGGTGGCTGATTCACCCTCAAGGCACCTAACTAAATTAATTACAGCTCATTTCTTGTACAGTTGCGATGGGGGGAAATGATTCAACAAATTTTGCAGACGGGTTCAAAATTTTCCCCTCAATTCTTTGGAAAGTGACCTCAAAGAGATTAAGCTGCTTGTTATTACCCTGTGATAGGTATTTCCAGTTAAAAATCTCAGGCACAACAGTTGCATATAGGAAATGAGGTCCTTTGATGTGGAATTCTATTCCATAGACTTAGATGTAGGATTTTATGAATACTGTGTTCCTTAAAACAGTTCCTTTTCCATAGACTCTTAGATATGTGAGTTGGGGCATACAAAAGCACACAGATGCTAAAGTCCAGGATTCACATATAGGCAGAATGTGATGGGGCAGATGATGGATGTGCCTGCAGCCTGGGAGGAATAATAGTAACGGCAAGTAACTAGCGTTTACTGTGCTCCAGGCATTGTTTTAAGAACCTGCTTGATTCTCACAAGACTACAAACTGTCTGCTACTATTATCCCCATTTCACAGATGGGAAAAGTAAGGCACAGAGTTAATCACTTTGCTCAGTCATCCTGCTTTGAGGGAGGCAGCTTGACATGAACGTAGGAATTCTGTCCCCAGAGGCTGTTTATTCTCTTAGCTGCCTACACAGTGGTTCCCAGGACAGCAGGAAAAAACAAGCCAAACAGAGGATAAGATTTTAAAAATTCCTGTTTGGTTAGCTGAGGTGCAACAAGTGAGTCATACAGTTTGGATGGAGAAAACTATTCCATAAGCTCAAAAATGCCAAACATGTACTTTACAGCTCACGGGTGAATGTATACAATTTGGGAGTACTTCATGGGGTCCACCTGGCCTTTAAAGTCAAGAATTACTAGATGTTTAGTTGTCTGTGCCTTTCTAGATACAATTATCCCATTCATTCACAAAAGGTTTCTCAACTGGTATTATGATATGACTAATGTTATTATGCTAATTATTTCTAGTTGCTTAGTTTAAAAGATTGTGAGCTCTAATGCAAATGAAGGGGGAGTTCCATTGGCCTGTTTAGGCCACTAGGGTGCCCCATCGCTCCAGATGGCATGACAGTCTGGTTGAGTTTATCCCGGACATGAAATGAGCGTTCTCCTCAACTCATCGAGAAAGGTCAGGATGACAGGACATTGACAGAAGTGCAGTACACCTTGGAAATCTGGAGAAGAAAGTGGAGGAGACCCAAGCTCAACTAAGAGGAAGTCAGATTGGCAGAATAGTCTCACAGAATAATTGTTGCATTACTTCTGGATACTGTACATCCTTATTCAATAAGATATAAATAGATAAAAATGATGTCAAAGCAACAACAAAAGGTAAAGTATTTCCTTGCATACAGCAGGTGCTTATTAAATATCTATTTGATGAAAATTCTACCTAAAAATGATAACAATTTGACATATAAATAGATTTGATAGGTCTAGCCCTTGTGACAGTTTTACTCACGCTTAAGCCAAGTGGAAAGTACTGTTAATTTCAAATACTTTATTTTATTGCATAACCCTCCAAATAAGATTATTTTGAGTTTTTAAGTTAAATTAATGAATTTTCACAATGTGATCTTTTTGTTCTGTAGGAACATTTGTTTAAAGCAGAATGATTTTTGAAGTTGGCCTTATGGACAATTTCATACATATAAAAAATGGAAAGAATATATTAATGAATTCTGTCAGTGGCCCATCTCTTCATCTATACTCATGCCACTGCCCTCCTTCACCACTGGATTATTTCAAAGTACCTTCCCAATGTCAAATCATATTTATTAGTAATATTTATGAGTATTTTATTATGGAAGTCCTTTAGAAAAAATAAAGGGTTTATCCTTAAGTCACTCCAATTAGTACAGACCAGTCAGTCCTTGGCTGCCTTCACCTGCAGGAGACTGCTGCTCATGAAAGAAGCTTGCTTTCAGAAACCAGGGCATCAGCTTTCATGAGATAACCAAAATCATTCTCGGGGTTAGCTTCTTACCAAAACAATATGGGTCTGCAAGACCTTCCATGCAGGCTTTGGTAATAGCCCTGAGGTGGGCATCTATCTGGTGCAGACAACCCCTGCTACCACGAAAAAAGGTGAAGATGTGTAAATATCACATGCAAAGAGAACTAAGAATGAGAGGCAGGTGTCGCAAAAGGCATTCAATTGCATCTTCAATCAACATTTTATCCGGTTTAGAGGCTTGTATGCTAAATTAAGTACAGTGACTTATACGTTGCTTAATAACAGGAAGAATGCTTTTAAAATCACTGAAATATTATAAGTACCTGCAGAAATCCACAACTCGCTCAAGGACAGTGTTTGTAAATTGTCCTTCTATGCTCCTGTGTTAGAAACAGAAATTTTAACACTGTCTTCATTTAATCTCTGATGCATCCTAATGAGAGCGCAGCTTAAGAAACCGGTCGGCCTTGTGCAAATCTGGACATCCTGTCATGGGATGCAGAGCCTGACACCCTGTCTGCATCTTGCTCACATTCAGGCTCTTGTAACACTTGATCCTGGGCACAACTGCTGATCTGTCCCTCCCCACCCGCTTCCTCTCCCTGGTGGCTTGTCTGTGGGGGGTGGGGGTGGGGGGCTGGCCAGAGGCATCCTGAACATTATGAAGGGTGTGAACAGAAAAGCCCGGTGCTTCCCGACTGCTGCTGTCTGCATTCCTGGCTCACAGAAAGTCTCCCTCCTCTCACAGCAAGGTAGTTCTCTGCATTCTGGAACCATTTTGAATCAACACTAAAGATTTCCCTCATTTTCCAAATGAGTAAGTCCTTTGGAAAGACAAGCTTAACACCCCAGAGAAACAAGTTCTCCATTTATCACCACGTGCATATTAGGCCGGGCGAGCTGTGTGAAGCTGCTTTCTGTGCATTGCCAGTGAGCCCAGGCTCTGACAGGAGGAGAATAGATCTCTGTGAGAAAAGGGCTTTTTCATTAAGTTCGGGCCTCTGCAGTAGCAGGGAATATGTTTGTCTGGAACTTACATCTATGCATTGCAGTGTTTTGATTTCCCCAAATGTCCAGTAGAAATAATATTTGGTTCATCTCCAATTAGAAATAAACTTTTGATGTGAGTAAGTTGATCAATGGCCAAACTTAACATATGTTCAGAGCACAAAGCTCTTTGTCCTCTGTATGAATTAGACATTTTTTTAAATGCCTAGTATTTGTTGTGAATGCTTGTACATTCTTCTCACAATTGGTAGCACCTTCTCTCTAGAAATGCCCAAGAACTCACACAGGGAATTTGTGCAACCAGGTGCCTGCAAACCGGGCTTGCATTAACATGTAAAGCTAATTCCCTTGTAGTCCTCCAGCGAGCATTTCCTTAATGTAAGCACAGGTCTTGCTACTGGGAATCCCCAAAATAAAGGGAGAAATCTGGAGTTGCCCCCTCCAGTCTCACAGTGTCAGAGGCAGAAGGGTCCCCCATCTTCAGTGAGTGAAATTCTAGTGAAGAGGGACTCTCACCGGGGCCACAGACCATTAGTGTGTGTGTAAGTAAACCCCAGCTGGCCCATGAGCCCCGGGCTGCACGCGCACCTCGTTTGGGGAGAGGCTTCATAGACTTCATCGGCTTCTCGCAGAATGTCAGTGGTCTGCAAAAGCACAGAAGTGCCGCTACAGATGTGCATGCGAGAGGCTTGGTGGCCTCAGTGCAGGGCAGCCGGAGAGAGTCTGGGGGAGCCTGACAAGGGGCTGGCAGCGGGCAGGAGGACGGATGGCACGGGGAGGGGCTGGAGTTCTCCAAATGCACGAGCAGAACAGGTGGGCAGCCGGAAGAACTGGGGTGCGGTGGGACACCCAAGCCCCACACTCAGCCTTAGTGGCTAGGATCCCTCTGCAGAGGGTGCACAGGACCAGGGAAGGGAGGTAAACCAGAGTGACAGGAGCAGTTCTAGGTATGTGCGTGCGCCCTCCTAGAATGCGAGGGACTCAGAAATGCTATGGAACTTTCTGCTGATAATATTAATAGCTAATATTGATGTTGGTCAATTTATGGATTTTTGTTGAAATATATTTGTCATACAGCATATTAGTTTCAGGTGTGGGACCGAGCGATTCAACAGTTTTATACATTATTAAATGTTCACCATGGTAAGTCTACTTACCATCTGTCACCGTACAGCTATGGCAATATTATTGGGTCTAATTCCCTATGCGGTGCTTTATGTCCATCCTGTGGTTTGTTTTTGTTATAACTGGAATTTTGTACCCATCCCTTTAATCTGTTTCACATAACAATAGTTAATATCTTTAAGAGGCCCTTCGCTGTTGGCCAAGACCCCGACATCTCTTTTCTCCCCTTATCAGTGCCCCTCTGTGAGGCAAGCTAAGCAGGTGTTTGCACCCCATTTACTAATGAGCAGTCTGAGACTTTGAGGGATTAAGTGATTTTCCTGTAATCACATAAACTAATCAAACACATCTCCTTTCTCCGAAACCCTGGGTTCTTCCTATCATGCCATTCTTAGTCTCCAAAAACACTTAAAATTTAAACATGATACAGAGTCTCTGTCTGAGAAAGTAAGTCCTTTCTGAAGCAAAACATACACTAGCTCCAGGAAAAGATATGGGAGGAGAGCGTGCTTTTCTTCTCAGGGATTCCCAGCAGCCACCATGATCGGGGCGGGAGAAAGACACACACCAGAAATGCCCTCGACGTCTGTCTCAACAGCAGGAAACAAGCGGAAAACAGCAACTCCTTATTTCCTGAATTATATAAATACAGAAACACGAGATAACAGCAAAGTTAGAGACATGACTGAAGAAGAGCTAGCGAGGGGCCCACGCTCAGAGCCCCTCAGGGAATGTTTGCTGGGAAGACATGAAGCTCACCGTGCCCCGGACGAGGGCACTGCCACCGGGGCCACACACCGCTTTGTTCTTCAAACCCGAGCAGCAATGCCAAGTGGAGACTGGGACGATTAAGTATGTAGATTAACCCAATCAAAAGTTACCCTCGGAATAGTGTGAATTATCCTGGGAAATTACCTTAACATCCTGGCTGTGGATCTCTAGCCAGCGGCATGCCAGTCATGGCAGAGATATATATCTTGCATGAATAGTCCATCATTTTTGAGATGAGCCAGATGCGAGGGAAGCCACTGCGCCTGCGATGCTCTGTGATGCGCTGTCGGGGGCAGGAGGATCTATTGTACCTGGAATTCTGGAAAAAACAAAAAAAGGCCGTCTTTTCAGAAGTGGATTATCTTTCATAACCGGTAAATATTTTTCATGCTACCAAGCCTTTAGAGCAGGCAGCCATTGTGCACAGTGGGTGTCTGTGCCGGGTTTGGGCTAAACTCCCATGGGGGCTCCAAAGAGAAACCCAGTGCTTCATCTTCTAAGCCACTCAGCCCTCCTTAAGCAAGTTAATAAAGACCTTCCTGTCTATCTGCATCTCATTACTGCCACATAATACAATATCCTGGGGTTTTCCTCCTTTTGTGAAGAAATGCTTAGCGACATGGCGTGTGGAATGTTTTCCTAAAAATGGGCTGGATTAGTGCCACGTTCTCACTCTCCTTAAGAGTATTGGAAGACAAAAACCTATTTCTTAATTACCTACCAGTGTTTAGGTCCTTTATGTGACTTGGCTTGTTTTTATGATTAATCCCCAGATTAGCCTAGAACATTTCACACTGCCTGAGAACTACCCGTATTCAGTGTCGCTGTGCCCGGCGTCCCGCTCCTCAAGCCAACAGCGGTCACCTCACGACCCCTGTGTGCCCACTAATTCTTTCTCTTTTCCTGGTTTCTCCCTAAAATCTGCGGACTTCATATTTAGGTACCATACATTTGCAATTACTGCCCAACTGCATTCTGGTGATCCATGTTAATTGTAATAAGACAGTGAACAATGATCTTGCTTATTTTGCTCCCCGACACCAGGTCCTAAAACATGCAGGGCCCACACAGTGGCAGGCATGAGCTTGGCTGGAAATGAGACAGACCTGCAGTGCCCACTCCCTGTACCCTGACACATGAGGATTCATGCATTTCTTTCCCAGAGTCCCTGAGAAACATACAGAAGAGCTGCTTCACACCCCAAACTGGGCTTATCATCAAACCTAAGGATCCAAAGGAAAATTTCCTTGGAGAGAAAGGGCACAATGGGCACATCAGGGTATTCCCTGGGCAGAAATGCGTATTTGAGATTTTGGTTTTATTATTCTTTCATGTGGAAAGATAGGTGACCCAGAAAGATGAAATCATGGGAGAGAGAACTTGGGCAGAGCAGGGAGTGAGAACTACCGGGGTACAGGCATGTGCACGCCAAGGCTCCAGCCACTAAATAATTTCCTCGAGTTACATCCATCTGTTGGGGTGAGAGTTGCTTGATCCCAGTTCTCAGGTGGGATTACCAGTCGGATGGAGGGACCGACAGGAGCACAGGTGACTAATGGAACTTCGGGAAACCCCCGTAACACTCCTTCCAGCATGCACACCCTTTCTCAGGGGGACAGCCAGTGCCCCGCCGGATCCTGTAGGGCGAAACAGTACATACTCATTTATTTTTATTTTCATGAGAATTGTATTGACTGTATTTTGTCTCTTGGTATTTAGCCATGGTTTTATATATAGCCTGTAATAGGATTTTTTTAATAGAGGAATTAATTTTTAATAGATGGGATTTTTAATAGATCAATGACTATGAATAACTACTTCATCCTCAAGGAAAACAGTCTTCATTGCTCCATTTTAGGGACGTTAGCTTACATTCCAGTGATAACACGCTGCCTCTGGCCGTCCCCCATCTCCACTTCATGAACCTCAGCACGACTACAGGGTTAGTTGAATCACTTATGTGTCAGACGAGACAGTAAAACTCTAATTGTCAACATTAATTTCACTGGTGTAGTTGCGGCTATGCGGGGGGTCTCCTCTGTTCACTTACTGAGGCTTGAAATCACGTCTAATTTACAGAGGCTGGGAGAGTGACACAGGACGGAGGCAGTATGCTTATGCATGGTGATGAGCGCTCATAAAAATGTCTTTTTAATCTGATGATTATTAGAAAGCCCAGCTCATTCAATTGCATCTTCAATCAACATTTTATCCGGTTTAGAGGCTTGTATGCTAAATTAAGTACAGTGACTTATACGTTGCTTAATAACAGGAAGAATGCTTTTAAAATCACTGAAATATTATAAGTACCTGCAGAAATCCACAACTCGCTCAAGGACAGTGTTTGTAAATTGTCCTTCTATGCTCCTGTGTTAGAAACAGAAATTTTAACACTGTCTTCATTTAATCTCTGATGCATCCTAATGAGAGCGCAGCTTAAGAAACCGGTCGGCCTTGTGCAAATCTGGACATCCTGTCATGGGATGCAGAGCCTGACACCCTGTCTGCATCTTGCTCACATTCAGGCTCTTGTAACACTTGATCCTGGGCACAACTGCTGATCTGTCCCTCCCCACCCGCTTCCTCTCCCTGGTGGCTTGTCTGTGGGGGGTGGGGGTGGGGGGCTGGCCAGAGGCATCCTGAACATTATGAAGGGTGTGAACAGAAAAGCCCGGTGCTTCCCGACTGCTGCTGTCTGCATTCCTGGCTCACAGAAAGTCTCCCTCCTCTCACAGCAAGGTAGTTCTCTGCATTCTGGAACCATTTTGAATCAACACTAAAGATTTCCCTCATTTTCCAAATGAGTAAGTCCTTTGGAAAGACAAGCTTAACACCCCAGAGAAACAAGTTCTCCATTTATCACCACGTGCATATTAGGCCGGGCGAGCTGTGTGAAGCTGCTTTCTGTGCATTGCCAGTGAGCCCAGGCTCTGACAGGAGGAGAATAGATCTCTGTGAGAAAAGGGCTTTTTCATTAAGTTCGGGCCTCTGCAGTAGCAGGGAATATGTTTGTCTGGAACTTACATCTATGCATTGCAGTGTTTTGATTTCCCCAAATGTCCAGTAGAAATAATATTTGGTTCATCTCCAATTAGAAATAAACTTTTGATGTGAGTAAGTTGATCAATGGCCAAACTTAACATATGTTCAGAGCACAAAGCTCTTTGTCCTCTGTATGAATTAGACATTTTTTTAAATGCCTAGTATTTGTTGTGAATGCTTGTACATTCTTCTCACAATTGGTAGCACCTTCTCTCTAGAAATGCCCAAGAACTCACACAGGGAATTTGTGCAACCAGGTGCCTGCAAACCGGGCTTGCATTAACATGTAAAGCTAATTCCCTTGTAGTCCTCCAGCGAGCATTTCCTTAATGTAAGCACAGGTCTTGCTACTGGGAATCCCCAAAATAAAGGGAGAAATCTGGAGTTGCCCCCTCCAGTCTCACAGTGTCAGAGGCAGAAGGGTCCCCCATCTTCAGTGAGTGAAATTCTAGTGAAGAGGGACTCTCACCGGGGCCACAGACCATTAGTGTGTGTGTAAGTAAACCCCAGCTGGCCCATGAGCCCCGGGCTGCACGCGCACCTCGTTTGGGGAGAGGCTTCATAGACTTCATCGGCTTCTCGCAGAATGTCAGTGGTCTGCAAAAGCACAGAAGTGCCGCTACAGATGTGCATGCGAGAGGCTTGGTGGCCTCAGTGCAGGGCAGCCGGAGAGAGTCTGGGGGAGCCTGACAAGGGGCTGGCAGCGGGCAGGAGGACGGATGGCACGGGGAGGGGCTGGAGTTCTCCAAATGCACGAGCAGAACAGGTGGGCAGCCGGAAGAACTGGGGTGCGGTGGGACACCCAAGCCCCACACTCAGCCTTAGTGGCTAGGATCCCTCTGCAGAGGGTGCACAGGACCAGGGAAGGGAGGTAAACCAGAGTGACAGGAGCAGTTCTAGGTATGTGCGTGCGCCCTCCTAGAATGCGAGGGACTCAGAAATGCTATGGAACTTTCTGCTGATAATATTAATAGCTAATATTGATGTTGGTCAATTTATGGATTTTTGTTGAAATATATTTGTCATACAGCATATTAGTTTCAGGTGTGGGACCGAGCGATTCAACAGTTTTATACATTATTAAATGTTCACCATGGTAAGTCTACTTACCATCTGTCACCGTACAGCTATGGCAATATTATTGGGTCTAATTCCCTATGCGGTGCTTTATGTCCATCCTGTGGTTTGTTTTTGTTATAACTGGAATTTTGTACCCATCCCTTTAATCTGTTTCACATAACAATAGTTAATATCTTTAAGAGGCCCTTCGCTGTTGGCCAAGACCCCGACATCTCTTTTCTCCCCTTATCAGTGCCCCTCTGTGAGGCAAGCTAAGCAGGTGTTTGCACCCCATTTACTAATGAGCAGTCTGAGACTTTGAGGGATTAAGTGATTTTCCTGTAATCACATAAACTAATCAAACACATCTCCTTTCTCCGAAACCCTGGGTTCTTCCTATCATGCCATTCTTAGTCTCCAAAAACACTTAAAATTTAAACATGATACAGAGTCTCTGTCTGAGAAAGTAAGTCCTTTCTGAAGCAAAACATACACTAGCTCCAGGAAAAGATATGGGAGGAGAGCGTGCTTTTCTTCTCAGGGATTCCCAGCAGCCACCATGATCGGGGCGGGAGAAAGACACACACCAGAAATGCCCTCGACGTCTGTCTCAACAGCAGGAAACAAGCGGAAAACAGCAACTCCTTATTTCCTGAATTATATAAATACAGAAACACGAGATAACAGCAAAGTTAGAGACATGACTGAAGAAGAGCTAGCGAGGGGCCCACGCTCAGAGCCCCTCAGGGAATGTTTGCTGGGAAGACATGAAGCTCACCGTGCCCCGGACGAGGGCACTGCCACCGGGGCCACACACCGCTTTGTTCTTCAAACCCGAGCAGCAATGCCAAGTGGAGACTGGGACGATTAAGTATGTAGATTAACCCAATCAAAAGTTACCCTCGGAATAGTGTGAATTATCCTGGGAAATTACCTTAACATCCTGGCTGTGGATCTCTAGCCAGCGGCATGCCAGTCATGGCAGAGATATATATCTTGCATGAATAGTCCATCATTTTTGAGATGAGCCAGATGCGAGGGAAGCCACTGCGCCTGCGATGCTCTGTGATGCGCTGTCGGGGGCAGGAGGATCTATTGTACCTGGAATTCTGGAAAAAACAAAAAAAGGCCGTCTTTTCAGAAGTGGATTATCTTTCATAACCGGTAAATATTTTTCATGCTACCAAGCCTTTAGAGCAGGCAGCCATTGTGCACAGTGGGTGTCTGTGCCGGGTTTGGGCTAAACTCCCATGGGGGCTCCAAAGAGAAACCCAGTGCTTCATCTTCTAAGCCACTCAGCCCTCCTTAAGCAAGTTAATAAAGACCTTCCTGTCTATCTGCATCTCATTACTGCCACATAATACAATATCCTGGGGTTTTCCTCCTTTTGTGAAGAAATGCTTAGCGACATGGCGTGTGGAATGTTTTCCTAAAAATGGGCTGGATTAGTGCCACGTTCTCACTCTCCTTAAGAGTATTGGAAGACAAAAACCTATTTCTTAATTACCTACCAGTGTTTAGGTCCTTTATGTGACTTGGCTTGTTTTTATGATTAATCCCCAGATTAGCCTAGAACATTTCACACTGCCTGAGAACTACCCGTATTCAGTGTCGCTGTGCCCGGCGTCCCGCTCCTCAAGCCAACAGCGGTCACCTCACGACCCCTGTGTGCCCACTGCTTCTTTCTCTTTTCCTGGTTTCTCCCTAAAATCTGCAGACTTCATATTTAGGTACCATACATTTGCAATTACTGCCCAACTGCATTCTGGTGATCCATGTTAATTGTAATAAGACAGTGAACAATGATCTTGCTTATTTTGCTCCCCGACACCAGGTCCTAAAACATGCAGGGCCCACACAGTGGCAGGCATGAGCTTGGCTGGAAATGAGACAGACCTGCAGTGCCCACTCCCTGTACCCTGACACATGAGGATTCATGCATTTCTTTCCCAGAGTCCCTGAGAAACATACAGAAGAGCTGCTTCACACCCCAAACTGGGCTTATCATCAAACCTAAGGATCCAAAGGAAAATTTCCTTGGAGAGAAAGGGCACAATGGGCACATCAGGGTATTCCCTGGGCAGAAATGCGTATTTGAGATTTTGGTTTTATTATTCTTTCATGTGGAAAGATAGGTGACCCAGAAAGATGAAATCATGGGAGAGAGAACTTGGGCAGAGCAGGGAGTGAGAACTACCGGGGTACAGGCATGTGCACGCCAAGGCTCCAGCCACTAAATAATTTCCTCGAGTTACATCCATCTGTTGGGGTGAGAGTTGCTTGATCCCAGTTCTCAGGTGGGATTACCAGTCGGATGGAGGGACCGACAGGAGCACAGGTGACTAATGGAACTTCGGGAAACCCCCGTAACACTCCTTCCAGCATGCACACCCTTTCTCAGGGGGACAGCCAGTGCCCCGCCGGATCCTGTAGGGCGAAACAGTACATACTCATTTATTTTTATTTTCATGAGAATTGTATTGACTGTATTTTGTCTCTTGGTATTTAGCCATGGTTTTATATATAGCCTGTAATAGGATTTTTTTAATAGAGGAATTAATTTTTAATAGATGGGATTTTTAATAGATCAATGACTATGAATAACTACTTCATCCTCAAGGAAAACAGTCTTCATTGCTCCATTTTAGGGACGTTAGCTTACATTCCAGTGATAACACGCTGCCTCTGGCCGTCCCCCATCTCCACTTCATGAACCTCAGCACGACTACAGGGTTAGTTGAATCACTTATGTGTCAGACGAGACAGTAAAACTCTAATTGTCAACATTAATTTCACTGGTGTAGTTGCGGCTATGCGGGGGGTCTCCTCTGTTCACTTACTGAGGCTTGAAATCACGTCTAATTTACAGAGGCTGGGAGAGTGACACAGGACGGAGGCAGTATGCTTATGCATGGTGATGAGCGCTCATAAAAATGTCTTTTTAATCTGATGATTATTAGAAAGCCCAGCGAGGTGGTCCAGCTGCTAACCAGAGAGCATTTCTGTTGCTGAGGAGATTGATTCCATCTTAGCAACTCTTTGTAATAATTTTAGGAAAAATGTTCCTTTTCTCAGATAATAAAGTCATTCTATGATGATTTTTTAAAGGACTTACAGAATCGGACGTTGACATTGGGCAACATTATTAAAGGAGCAATAATGTTTTGTATTGCTCTTTGCTGTTTGCCTCAACTTTTCCAGGAGGTTTGGAAAAATCATTAAATAAGAAGGGCAAATTTCATTCATTTATTCAAGAAAGCCATTGAGGTTCTGTTTTGTGCTGGGCATTGTATTAAACTGTATGATTTTAAAAATAATATTATGTGAGGTCTGCTCAGAAGCAGCTCACAACCAGGGTAACAGGAGAAATCTAACATATCCTGACAGTGAGAAATATGTTTTGTGTGAACAAGCTATTTGCGTTTAACAGAACACTACTGACCCTTAACACCTGTGAAACACTGCATTTTTATCTCATTCATCCTACTTTCTTTCATTTTTAAATGCTTATCTATCATGACCCACTAAATTGATTTCTCAACCCATAAATACGCCCTTTGAAACACTGGCCTAGAAGGTGGGATTTAAATGGAGGGGGGAGAGGAGATGAGATAAAGCCACCAGGAGAGCCCCGGGGTGTGGGGGGGTGAGGGAGGGAAGGACGCCTCCCTCGTGCTGGAGGCAGTGCTAGGCCATCCTGTGCTGTTATTAGTGGGGATTTGTGCAAGGACATAATGACAGATCAAGCCATGTTTTGAAATAACTACAGAAGGGGATATGTGGAAAGGATAGATGTTTTTCCTTGACCTTTTCATATTCATTTACAAGTAAACATATAAACTTGAAAAATGATTAATGAGAAATGCTCAGTTGTGGACCATATGAAAAGGGAATGTCCCCCCAACTGGCCATTGGTGGTTTGCCCCTGCGGAGCCGCATGCATGAGAATCCACTGGGACGCGGGGTCAGCCTTACCCTGCAGGGTCCCAGTTGTCATCCTGAGTGACCGACATGGGCTCCGTGATATGTCACTGCAATAGCTCAAAGGAAATGCAGTCACATGTATAAGATCTGGGGAAACAAGGAAACCGATCCCCCTGTATCAAGGACACAGTCACAGAAGCAAACAAAGAAGCCGTCCGTGTAGCTTGTCAAGAATTTTGACAAGAACTGAAAAGTGCGTAAGTGTTTCAATTCATTATTTAAGGCCTCGGAGCAGCATGCTAGTAGCCGGCCAACGTGGGTAGGTAGGGTGTCGTTCAGGAGACGTGTAGGGTGCCTCCGTGCTGTCATTGACATGCTGACAAATCACTGTACCAGTTGGAAATGACTGCTGTCCTGAGCCCTCCAGGTTCCCACACACCCCACCCCTCAGGTGTCCTGGCCCCCCCTCAGTTAATGGTATGTTAAGGTACATGGCTCAGGCTTATCGTGGCACCTGGGGTGTATGGGACGTGGCCTGGGCCCTTTGGTTGTTAAATATTGGAGGTGACTAAATTTTATAGTTAGTTTTGAACAAGGATTTTGAAAAGGCTCGATATATATCACTGCTATTTTCTTTAAACTTGGGCTGATTTTACTGGTTCCCTCTGACCATTAGTGTTGAGGATTAGAGTTTTACTGTCTTGTATGACACTAAACCTCTAGTCCTGCAGAGGTGCATGAGGTACAGACGGGGGACGGCCAGAAGCAGCGTGTTATCACTGGAACACAAGCTAACGTCCCTAAAATGGAGCAATGCAGGTAACATTTTTCTTAAGGATGAAGTAGTTTTTATTCTTAAAGTAATTTATCAAAAATCCAATCTATTAAAAATTATTTAATTTATCCATTAAAAAATTCTATTACACTATATAGAAAACAGTGGTTAAATACCAAGAGACAAAATAGAGCCAAAACAATTCTCATGGAAATAAAAATAAATGAATAAGCACTCTTTTGCTCCATCGGATCTGGTGGGGCATTTGCCGTTTACCCAAGACAGGGGGTGTGATTGAAGAAGCATGGTGAGGACTTCCTGTGCTCTTTCTTCGGATGACAGGCATCGCTAACTCACCATCTGCGGGACGCCATGCAGGTGTCGCAAATACTGAAGGTTTCCGGTAAAAGAGCAAAGAGTTTCTTCTCCACCTTTGCTCTCTGGAGAAAGTGAGGAAGAACCATTTACCTACACGGAGACATGCTGCCAGCTTGCAGACACCGCGTCCCGGGACTCCTGGATTTACATTACCGCCTGGCACTTAGGAAGTGTAAAAATAACGGCATATAAATAACTGCATGACCTATGAAATTACACATGAGGACTGGGTCTCCGAGCCAGGTCAGCTTGCTGTTCAGGTGTCGCATACTCAGCTAATTATAGGAAAGGCAAGCTCCCATGTACGTGGAAAGGAAAGGAACTGACATGGTTTTTTTTCCCCGTTATGGCAGGGACGCCATAGATGGGCACAAAAGGACCCAGTTAGTTAAATTTAAAAGGAAATTGGCACAGCATAATTTTCTGTGCATTTTTGGGTTCTGAAAGCCTTATTTATACTGACAGTCATTTTTTGGCTTTACTGTCAATACATTCTTCCCCTGCTCAGCACATATGTTGTTGAAGATGTCACTGTTTCCTGCTTCAGTCGGTGTTTTCTAGCAAAAACCCTCTCCTTAGGCTTGGCAGGGGAGCAAGTGGCGGCGCTGAGAGCCGGGGACAAGGAAGCGTTCCCATCCTGCCCTACTTACCCCGCAGGGTGAGTGTCTGTGGCACTTTCTGCCACAGAAGAATGCTTAAAACACAAGTTCAAGAGGAATTTTGATCTGTTCCAGGGTGGCAATTCCATAAGGGTTACTCAAGGTAGGAAGGAATGCGGGGGCCAGCTCTCTCCTTCTACGGGCAGTAACACGTCAGGCACTTGTTTCCTCAGCTGTCCCACCCTTTCCAATCACCACAGTGTCATATTTTTCTGTTTCCTAAGCAATCCACTCTTATGGAAGCACAGGCATGTTGAGGGATGGGGCTGTGTCTCAGCAGTTGCACGGGAACCATTTCTAGTCCCACGCCCATTCCTGCTGAGCGCTGAAGCCCTCCACTGAGGCACCTCTTCAGCTATCAGCAAAGGGGTGATAACATCCGATCGACATGGCTTGGGCTCTGTTGGCCTTGTGCTGTTGAAAAGCAACTCGGCCGGCGCCCTCCACCTTGATGCTACCCTACTCTACCACATCTTGTATCTTGTTGCACAGCCCTCCAAGGGCGATGTCTTCTTATTTGAGCCTGGGATCAGCCTCTCCGTCTCCATGAATACTCACACTCGACGTGTGTCTTCCACTGAGGTAATGCGCAAAGTGTTTGGTTTACACTATCACGTGTAAGAAAAAGTTTCATTCACTTCCTAGGAGCTTGTTACAGCAGAATGCTGGGCCTCTGGGAGTGATCTCTAAGTCCTGATTTGTATTTCTTCGTCATGTGCAATAATATAAAATCAGAGATCAAAAGGCATTTTCCTTAAACACACTAGGTTTGCCATAACACAAACCGGATGCTGATTTCGGCTTTGAACGGTCCCCGTGCACATTTGGTCGCACACCGTCTCTGTGTCCCCGTAAGCACAGCCCCACTGTAACCTCCCAATCTTAGGAGCAAGGACTTGAGAAGTAGCAGGACCATGCCAGCCGCCTCTCAGCATTTGTGCTTTTCCTTGCTGCCAAATGGGAAAAAACAAGCACATCCCCTTTGTGCAACAGCCTTTCTCAAGAGGAATTTTCCTATAGAGCTGCAGTGAGCTATAGCCGGCATGAGTAATGAGTTTAAAATGTACTTTCACATTTTTCCTGCCTTGCGTGGAACACTCCATATTAAATCAGTCGAACAGCTAGTTTGTTTTTCTCCTGCATTACTGAGGCTGGGATCCTACCTCACAGGTTTCCAAAATACACTCTAAAATTATCTCAAGTTAAGGTAACTAAGAGAGAAATGATGTTTTTAAGCATCCTTCTTAAAGAGACACCCCACTGCTCATTCCTTCCCCAGTGTCCTCGGCCTCTCCGTGGTGTCTGGGGCCAGCAGCCCCTCTGCCCCCTCCCCTCCCCGCGGGCAATTCCCCCTGCCCACCACCTCCCATCCTGCCTGGTTGAACGCACTTCCACACTGCCTGCCTGCCTCGGAAACACACTTTTCCTGGAAGAAGTCCTCCTTTTGCTGCCCCATCTGGATTCTCGGCCCTTTCCTGTTTGTAATCTCCCCTCAAAGCTCCTCCACCTGTCCACTTCCCTAGATCACTGACATGTTAGAAATAGTCTTCATGTCACACGCTCACTCCAACTACTTGCTGGAACCCGAAGGTCCAAGTCTCCCCTCCCCAGGCAGAGCGCGGGCAGGGCCAGCCCCGCGTTCTCTCCCTCCCTCCGCCCTCCGTCTCTGTCTCTCTCAAGCTCAGTCCCAGCTCTGGCGTCTTCACCCTCGCTGCTCCCTTTGCTCTCCTCCTTCCACATTCTGTCCATGCTCCAAAGTCTAGTGCCTTCTCCTGCCCACACCCCACACCCAGAGGCTCACCTGGCTGCCGCAGCACCCTCCGGCCTCACTGCCCCGCGTGGGACCCTGGGATCCTGCCCGGCTTGCCTCTCTGCCCCTCGTCTGCTGCCCCCTTACCATCTGCACTGAGGGCGCCCAGAAGGCAGCCACCTTTGGAGCTGAGTCACCACCCAGAAACCCCAGAAGAGGCACCATTAGAATGTGCCCTGCAGGTGCCACCCACGCAGGTTGGCCTTTTGTGTGTCAAAGGCTTTAACACACAAAGACAGCAAACATGAACTCAGTTGATAGGATAAGAATCCCACAGCAGCTATTCGAGATGATTCATCCGTAAGTTCCCAAGGATAGTTGTGCTGTCCTCCGTCCCTTTCCTCTGGCTGTTACCAGTTGGTACCATAAATCCCTGGCCTTTAGTGTATCTTAGAGCCCTTGAGGGTCATGTCTTTTATATCAGTATTTCTAAAAGCTCTCTGGCTGAATCTGAGCATAAAGTTTAGACCCTGTAGGATAAATATGTGTTGAATGAGTGCAGACGGCTCCGGTTTGGAGGAGGAGGGAGGGTGGCTCGTGGCTCCCCGTTCAGCTCTCACAAGTCCCCCAGATTGGCTACCGATTCAGTGGCATTTCACTGTCCAGGGACGGACCGACCACTGTGCTCTTTGCAGTGTTTCTTCCAGCTGTGGATTCGGAGCGAGCACTTCTCTGTCACCTCCCCTTCTCGTCAGGTTCATCCTAAGGCCTGAACATGTCCAAAGGAGCTCCCCTCACCCTGCCTGAAGGGTCTTCACGTGCTCCTTCCCCAAGAGCAGCCGCTCCCAGCCTCCCTCTCGCCCTGCCTCTGGCCTCACAGGAGCTCACTCAGACCGTTCCTGTGGTGTGAACGTGAGAAATCCGTAGTCTTGTGAATAGTGAGCAGTTATGCTCTCCCCACTTGGACCCTGGCCTGAGGATCTGTGTGCAGGAACAGCCACCATCAACCAGAGGCCACACTCCCTGGCAGCCCTCAGTGATTTCTACTGTTCTTCTCCCAGTGCGTGTGAATCCCGGGGATGAGGATGTATGTGATCAGATTGATTGCTGTTAGACCCCCTATGCCTGGGACTGGCTCAGTATTTTCCAGAAATTGAATCTTATACAGTTGGGAGCAGGGTAGGGGAAGGGTTCTCTTTAAGACAAATAAAAATTGTAAAGTGAACATTTATTTAAAATGACGTATCAAAGCAAGATAGGCACTTGCAAAAGCTGTGAGGTATACAGGGGGCATATGTACGCGCGTTGGCCGATGCCCTCGCAGGCCTCGGAAGTGGCCTTTGTGGGCAGGGGTTGGGACCTGCTCTAGCAGACCTCTCGTCAACCCATCGCTGCCTACCTCCAGCCACCAAGATTCCAGAACCCACACTTACCAGGTTGATTATAATTTCCTGACATTAGACATTGCAATGCCACGTAAAGTAAGATTTTAAAAATTAAATATGCATGGGCCTTGCATATGGATAGGACAATAATGAAATATTTATCAATGATAATTGGTAGGACCATAGTAAAAATATGAACCCTCACACAATAGGTCAGGAATAGATCTCAGATCTCTCTCAGTACCTCTTTTGCGAGTTAACACTCATGCAGGAAGCAAACAGCTCTGGTCCTTTGAATAAGTAGAACATTTTCATTTCTCACAATGTAAAATTTTCTATACCTTATACTTTTAAATAAGTAGAGATTAGAATTCAAAGGCATATTATTAACAGCAGGAACCCTTTCATATAGGGGATGTCTATAATATCCCCTATGAATGGGGAGAGATTATTACTGTGACATGCAGTTTCTCCATAATCATCCACACGAATTCTCAGTAAACGTAACTATTTTAGTTACAAAACATGTAGTACCTTTTAGGAATCAAAATTTCTACAGCAATGTTGTTGTAATAATTCATTTATTATTAATTCTGTTATACTTTCTTTCAATAAATAGTCACTGAGCACCTTCTGTGTGCAGGCTCTATTCTAGGCACCGACATTGCATTTGTGCTTGGGGTGCCAACTTTCCACAGGGAGGGGGCAGGAAACAGATCATTGAGACGTAATGTATCCTTTAGTGAGAAGGACCATGTAGGAACAACACAGGCGGGGAGTAAGCACAGAAATTGACCTGGGGTGGGTAGAGGGGTGCTGTTTTTGAATCTTATACAGTTGGGAGCAGGGTAGGGGAAGGGTTCTCTTTAAGACAAATAAAAATTGTAAAGTGAACATTTATTTAAAATGACGTATCAAAGCAAGATAGGCACTTGCAAAAGCTGTGAGGTATACAGGGGGCATATGTACGCGCGTTGGCCGATGCCCTCACAGGCCTCGGAAGTGGCCTTTGTGGGCAGGGGTTGGGACCTGCTCTAGCAGACCTCTCGTCAACCCATCGCTGCCTACCTCCAGCCACCAAGATTCCAGAACCCACACTTACCAGGTTGATTATAATTTCCTGACATTAGACATTGCAATGCCACGTAAAGTAAGATTTTAAAAATTAAATATGCATGGGCCTTGCATATGGATAGGACAATAATGAAATATTTATCAATGATAATTGGTAGGACCATAGTAAAAATATGAACCCTCACACAATAGGTCAGGAATAGATCTCAGATCTCTCTCAGTACCTCTTTTGCGAGTTAACACTCATGCAGGAAGCAAACAGCTCTGGTCCTTTGAATAAGTAGAACATTTTCATTTCTCACAATGTAAAATTTTCTATACCTTATACTTTTAAATAAGTAGAGATTAGAATTCAAAGGCAT